GCATTCAGCACACTTTTCAACTTATATCAGATTTATTTTAAGGCTCTGTACAGTTTTCTCTCTCTGATGTTGTCTTTCTTTAGCTCCCCATCTGTTTTACAATTTTATCCCCCCTCTCAGGTTCTCCTTTAGATTTCTTCCACACGCCTCCTACCACGCCCTCAGAGGCAGAGCTGACTGCCATGGCCTTATCCTCTGCAGCGTCCTCTAATAAGACACAGACGCCATCACCAGCCGGCAGCGCCACCCCCTGCACCACCTCTCCAGTCCCAGACTGGACACAGAAACTGTCCGCTCCCTCAGAATGGGCTGTGATAAGTGTAGACTGCTCCACCAGCTCAGAGACGAACGTGAGCGATGCAGCAGCGAGGCACAGAAAGGAAGCGAGCAGCCCGGGCAGCCCGACGTTCCTGCCCCCGTCCAGAGAGTCGCCTTCAGAGCAGAGCTGGCAGGAGCACGATAGTGGACTGGAGCCGCAGGCTGCAGCAGAGAGAGCCGGAGAGGAGATGACCCTGGTTTTACTCAGTCTGATGGAGCACTACAGGACCTCTCTAGGCCTGAGCCCCAACACTGATGTTACCACAGGAGCAGTAGGTAGGTCCTTGTGTTATTGATCTCTGTTGGAGATCAGGAGAAACTGCAAAATTACTTACTTAAAGTGTTTTCAGATTAATTAAGTATATAGATGAAGTATCTGGGTAAGGTAGGAGAAACCTTTAAAGAGGTACTTGACTGATTTTAGTAACTGCTTGCAAGAGACTAATTAAAGAAAAAATGGTCAGAACTGAAAGAGCAGAAGTCAGAGACACTAGTGGAGATCAAGCTCCAGAAACACTGAATCCTACATTTCCCATAATGCAACTCATTATCTTTTAATATACCACCCTTGTCTGGTAAATGCCTGTGTGTCTCCAACTCCAGGCCTCCTTTTGCTAATTCAAGCTTTCTGGTAAAGATTTGTAGTCTTCAAGCCCAAAAAGAGATAACGATGATGACATCACAATGACATCATAGGGGTTGCTTTATTAGACTGTAGAAAGTTCGTCCAGAGCCACAGAAGAAACTCACAGGTTGATCAGTACTCACCATGAAAAGGCGCAAAAAAAAGCCTTTTCATGATTTAAAGGACCAGTGTGTAGGATTTGGTGAAATCTAGTGGTGAAGTTTCAGATTGCAACCAACTGAATACAGCTCAGCCTTCCAAGCCTGTAGGAGAAACTACAGCGACTG